GAGCCCTGCAGCGTCTGCCTCGGCCGCCTCGACGGGTCCGACGCCGAGCCCGGCGAGGACGCGGACCGCAAGGCCACGGGCTGCTGCCGCCTGCCGTGCCACTGCAAGTCGCGGTTCCACCGCCACTGCATCTCGACGTGGCTCGGCATGAACTACACGTGCCCCGTCTGCCGCTTCGAGATGCCCTACGAGGAGACGCCGCCCGAGCCCGCCGCCCCGGCGGCGGCCGAGGGCGCCGACGGCTCCGGCGAGGTCGCGGCGACGGTCGCCGCGCGCGAGGCCGCCGCGTCGCTCGTCGAGCTCGCGGCCTACGACGCCGTGACCATGCCCCTCCTCGAGATGGTGCGCCGCGGCGAGCGCGGCACCGACGCCGCCGCCGCCGCCGCCGCCGTCGGCGGCGACGACGACGACGCGTCGTCGGACGGCGACGACGCCGCGTTCCTCGTCGCCATCGACGCGGCGACGGCCGAGGTCGGCGGCCGCTCCTACCTCGTCGTCGACGCCGGCGCCATCGAGCGCCGCGCGGCGGCGCGCCAGGCCGAGCGGGACCGCGGCGACGCCGCGCGCGAGCGCGGCGCCGTCGCCGCGGCCGTCGCGCGCGGCTCGTCCGCGCACCGGCTCCGGGCCCAGGTCCGCGCGGCCCAGGCGCCGGCGGCCGCGCCGTCGACCTTCGCCGAGCGGACCGCGACGCTCCGCGGCCGCGCGACGGCGTCCGCGGCCGCGGCGACGGCCGCGTCGAACGCGCCCACGGCGCCGCGGGCGACGGCGCACCCCGTCGCGACGATCCGCCGCCTCCAGCAGGCCCGCGAGCCCGCGGCGACGCCGGATCTGGCGCGCTCCGTCTCCGGCGGCGGCCTCGCCGCCGCGCGGCTCATCGCGTCCGCCGCCGCGACGGAGCCGCCGCGCGCGTGAAAAAACGCGCGCGCCCGGGCCCGGCCCTCCCCCGCCGGCGAGCCCCACTAACGTCGCTTACATGGACGCCTGCTGCATCTGCTGCTGCATCTGCTGCATCTGGCTCATCATGAGGATCTGGGCCTTGACGAAGTCGACCTTCTCCCGGTGGGGCAGCTTGGACACGTAGCGCATGCGGTCCGGCGGGTTGAGCTTCTGGAAGACGGCGACGCGCTTCTGCATCTTCGCCATGAACGCGTCGGCGTCCGCGGGCCGCATCGTCGCGAGCTCGCCCTGGGCCTCGGCCTGGATCGCGGCCATGTCCATCATCTCGTCGGAGCCCGGCTGGAGCGACGGCGCGTTCTCCGCGACGGCCTGCTTGCAGGCCGCCTGGGCCGTCATGGCCCAGACCTGCATGGCGCGGCCGAGCTCCTGGTCGTTGGGGAAGTCGATGGACAGCCGGTTGAGCATGGAGCAGGCCCACTCGCGCTCGAAGCCGAGCGTCTCGAGCATGTCCTTCTGGATCGTGATGATGAGCTCGTTGGGCATCTTGCCGTGCTCCTTGAAGTAGGCCGCGAGGCGGTCCTTCGTCGCCTGGAGCTGCATGACCGTGTTGCACGCGTCGAAGAACTCGAGCACCATCGCGCGCGGGATCTTGCCCGCCGTCTGGAGTTTTTTAGGCTTCAGCGCCTCCAACGCCTTGACGTAGGTCTCCTGGGCCGTGCGCATGAAGGTCTGCTGCAGCTCCGCGAGCTCCGCGTCGTCGGGGTAGTCCGCGCCGACCTTGGACGCGGCGACGCAGCCGACCTGCCGGTCGATGCCCAGCTTGTCGAATTCGACCTGCTGCAATTCGATCAGCCGCTTCCCCGGCCGCAGCGTCGCCTCCGGGTCCAGAAGCAGGGCCATGGTCGTTTCGTCCTCCATGGCCTCGACGCCCTTGCGGAAGAACGTCGCGAGGTCCTCGCGCGTCACGGCCTTGGGCAGCGTCGCCGCCCCGGGCTGGTTCGACCCGTCGTACGTCGTCCGGCCGACCTCGACCTCGATGACCTGGCCCGGCGAGAAGCCCTCGGGCACGACGAACGACACGACGCGGCCGTCGGGCAGCGCGACCTGCTCCCTGCTCCCCGCCGCGCTGCTGCCGTCGAGCTGGACCTGGATCTTCTCCACGGTGCCGACGACGCGCGTCGCCTTCTTCCGCTCCTCGAGCGTCGCGTCCTCGGCGGGCGCCGGCGCCGGCGCGGCGGCGGGCGCGGGTGCCGGCTCGGCGGCGGGCGCCGGCGCCGGCGCGGCGGCGGCCTCCTCCGGCGGGCTCGCCGGCGCCGGCGCGGCGGCCTCCTCCGGCGCGGCCGACGCCTCCTCCTCGGCCTCGAATTCGAGGTGCGGCGCGAAAAACATGGCTCGCGAGTCGCGGTGCCCGGTCTGGGACGTGAGCTGCGGCCGGCGCGGCGACGACGACGCTCGAATCCAAAGCCAGCGACGACGAGGCTTCGCAACACTTTGTGGCAAACCTCGTGATCCACCGATCTTGAAGACAACATCATTTCGGCAGTCCGAGCTCAGCGCCGCGGCGTCTCTGGAGGGGGGGGCTGCCTCCGCGCGGCGGCGACACCCCTCACAACACCATGGAGGCGGTCATGGAGCTGCGGCAGCAGCTCTACCTGACGCGCGACGGCAAGTCGCAGGACCAGTACGACAAGCGCACGGAGATCGTCGGGCGGCTCGGGTTGGCCCTCCACGCCTGCAACGTGCACCGCCACTTCCGGGGCCAGGAGAGCCGCGTGCGCGTCGTCGCCGCGGGGCTGCTCCAGATCGCGTCGGACCGGGGCTTCGGCGACCGCGACGACGCGGCGGGCTTCTGGGCGAAGTACGCGGGCGCGCAGTTCGAGGCCTTTCGGAGCAGCGGCGCGTGCGCGTCGCCGGGCCTCGTCGCGGGCGCCTACGCCGGCTGGGACCGGGCGGCCCTCGACGCCGGCCCCGCGGGCCTCGCGCCGGAGCAGCTGAGCGAGCGCGCCGAGGTCCAGCTGCTCTACGGCGACTTCGCGGGCGCCGCGGCGACGCTGGGAGCTTTGGTCGACGCGGCGTCGACGCCCGGCGCGGAGCGCCGCGTCGTCATCCTGCGGGTGGCCATGCTCTACCAGCACGCCCTG